ATAGAAATAACACTCCGAACACTCAAATATTAGTAAATAACATCTTGCTCGATTGAAAACAAGAAATTTCTCATCTATTAGTTATTCTAGGATATTCCCTTTCTTGGAAAAGCCAAATCGAAAAATTTACGTTGACATCCAGTGGAGTCAATAAAATTCGGTACCTGTGTCGAACATGGTGGAGAGCACATCCTGCTACTTTACTCATTGTATATAAGGCCTATATAAGACCACACCTTCCCAGTAAGCACAAGTACGTACCTACATAAGACAAACTAAGTACGTACTGATGGGACATAAAGTATGAACAATGCACGTACTTTGCTGTACGAAGTACGTACGGTACATTTTCCAATTGATGGTACATATCTAGTACGTACTGAAGGTACGTACCTAGTATTATTGAAGATATGTACCTAGCACATACTATATATACATATTATGTACATACTATACACATGATGATTATAAAAGCAAATATATGTGAATATATCTTTAATTTTTTTTTAAATATATTAAATTTTTATTCGGATTCCTTGGAAGTTTTTAAGCGATCCCCGGCTCTCCTCAACCATCAACATAATAAATATGCTTTAGCTCTTCTTTCTCATGGTACATACTTAAGACGTAATAGTACGTACTGGTATGTATCCCAGTGTACGTACTTAAAACGTACATTTTACATCATGTACGTACAGTACCAAAATTGTACGTATTCAAAACGTACTGTGCTGTTTGGGTTGATTATGGATCGATTTTTCTTGGAGGTTGTGCCCATTCCCTAAAGTTCAATATAGAGCTCTCAGAGTGGTCGGGGATTTGAGATCCTCTCCAGTTCATATTAATTTGTCGAAGTGTGGGAAAACACCGTTAGATCTTAGAAGGATTTGGCTAGCATCTAAATTTATATTAAAAGTGGTAGCATATGACAACCCAATATATTCTTCAATAGAGCAATTTCATAAAGCATTTCTGAATTACTTTAGTTCTTGGAGAAGAAAATACTTCCCACCAATACTGGCTGCCTTCCAGAATACGCTTCACGAGGTGGCACATAACTCCTTATTTCCTTGTCACTCCTTCCCGCTTGATTCTCAGATTTCTCCTACGGTTTATGAAACTCTCAACCTAGGGAAAGAGGGTAACCAAGCCAAGTTCGTGTTATGGTACCTTGATAACTGGTCTGAATATAAACTTATCTTGACAGTTGGATCCATAGATGAAAAAGATAATGTGGGCATTGGTATATATCTTAATGAAAGCACCGAATTAACAGCAGTACTACCATCTGCTAATTCAATTTGTTTAGCAGAATTATTTGCAATAAAAAAAGCATTAGATTTAATTCAACAGAATAATTTTGAAAAAGCCTTATTTGTGATTCAAAAAGTGCTCTGGAGAAAATTACAAGACCAAGTTTTAAGACTGCAGCAGACATACAAATTCTTCAATTAAAACAAAAACTTAGTCAACTCCATGAACAAAATAAAGATATTAAATTCGCATAGATTCCAAGTCACACCGGGATAGTAAAGAATGATAGAGCTGATTACTTGAGCTTGTTAAACTTGGAAGAAAACTATCTGGTACTGAAAAACCAAAGGCTTCCTTTAAAGATTTTCAAACTAAATATAAGGAAACCTATGGATCAGTTGGAAAAATCGGTTCCAACAAATAAGACAGCTAAAAGGAATTACATACTGTACGAATATTACGGTTCCATATAAAAAGGCCTGGTTTACAAGGTTTCCCAACCTGGGGAGGGGCATAATTGCACAAATGTGTCGTATGAGAAGTGGACATTGCAGTGTTCCGGTTCATTTATTTAAACTGAAAGTGATCAATACAAATCTGTGTCCATGTGGCAGTTTAAGCACCTTACAGCATGTGTTGTTGGAATATACAGCATGTGTTTTTTAACCAGGAGGAGTCCGCGTCGTAATGCTTGTTTGTAATTCGTTCAACCACAAGCAAGTTTACTCCACTAAATTATGACATTTATGAAATTTTAAAATTCAAAATTGATATCTACTATTTTTTGTATTTTCTGCGTTATTCGTTTAATTTTTAGATTTTTCTATAAACTTTTTTATAAGGATAAAAAACTGTTCTTTTCAGAACTATATAACGACGTATTAGTGTTATTAATGATAACAATATGGATTAAATGTCAAGTACTAGTGGGTATTATCCTTCTCCACCTAAAAAACGCCTTGTAGATTTGGGTCATTTATCATCAAATGAAAAACAATGCATTATAAATATGTACAAACAAATAAAAATTGATAATCCTGGAATGAAAATAACAGCCATGGTAGCAAAAATAAAACTGGCAACAGGTTAGTTTTGCAGAATAGTTATTGTTAAAATCAAGACTTACTAAACTAATGTGCTAATTTTAGGTGTTGCGAATTCAACTAATTACAGAAAAATTAAGGAATATAAGCAGACTGGAACAGTAAGATGTCTTAATAATATTGGCGGTCGACCTTATATTCTTGCAACATACGATGCAAGAGTTCAAATATCTTTAGGACAGATAGTACACAGCTTCTTTTTCAAGAATCAAATGTAAATAAATAATAAAGTAAATATCAATATTTTTATTGTAATTAGAAAAACAAAAGAATATTGGAAGTGAATTAAAAAATATTATTCAAACATAAACTAAGTCAGATTTGAATCGACGTGTGAGGGTGTCCGATACTCTGATTACTGGATTACCGCAAGACCGAGATAATCAACGAAAAAAGATATGTATTTGGTAACCTTTCTAGTAACTTTCTTGGGTGTGAATCTGTATTTTTAATTTACTCCTGGTTAAAAAACAAGCCATTATACTAGCAAAGAATACATAAGCGTCTATACTTCATCTAATTTAGATAACGACTTACGTCAGAGATCGAAGTTGACATAGTTGCCAAAATGTAAAAAAATCCTGACTCCATTTTAAATCAAATAGATTACATAATTATTGCAAAAGTATTACCATCTTTTTAAAACGAGTGTTTAAATTCTTACGTGACATTTTTTAAATAAAACACGCTAATTTTGTTCTAAAAAGAACAGATTTTATTAAATAGTTAAAAATATAAAACAAAAGATAGTCACTTTAAAATTCAAAATAATGAAGTACTAAAAGTGTCAACACCGCAACTGTCAAATAAGTGTTACCAATTTATGCCAAAATTTTACCTTCGTTCGATTACAGTTACAGTGTGTTCCGAACAAATGTTCTTGATAAAAACGATTTATAATGCATTCATTCAAATTAAATAAAATATATTATTGTGTATTTCTTTAAGTTAACATTAATAGAAATTTTTAAATATTATTTCTACGCGTATATAATAAAATATGTCTAGTGGCTGTAATGCCAGTGTACTCGGTAAAGTGATTCTAAAAAAGAACAAACTACACCCTAAATATTTTGTGTTGGCATCATGTGACGTCACAGGCTATGACGCCGATGACGTGCATCGTTATATAAATTAGATGAAGTGTATATTCTTTGATACTAGATTCTAACTCGATGCATAGATATTAAAAGGAGTCACAGTTAATTAGAAGTGAATTTCAAGTTGATCCAACACTAATTGATGTGTTGCTCAAAAATTTAATTGCAGTGCAAAAGTTTTTAGCGTCAAGTGTAGTTCATTAATGTACATTATAAGATTTAATCTGCTTGCTTGGATTGCATGTGCTTAGTGCGGTTTGGAGAATAGGACTTATGTGAAAGAACTTTTGAACACTTGACTTTAATTTGTTTTTTTTTTCTCCTTTAATTATGGTTGCAGGTTCAAGAGCTATGAGCTTAAGCCCAGATGTACGTTAGCAATATCAGCAATAGCTTATCGAGCAATAAGATAAAAGAGGGAATGTAAAGGTAGTGGGGGTAAACATATTGATAGACAGGAGGTGCTATTTTAAGAGGCCACTTTAAACAAGGAAAGAGAATCTCTTTCCTTGTTTAAGAAATCAAATTTAGTTGGGTTATGTTATTGTTGATGTTCAATGACGTATAATATATAGACTCGGTGAACGCTTTAAAAAGTGTCCAAAACATGAATACCTTTGTTATTGTTTATTGTTTTGATACGAAGATGCACGAAGTTCATGATTTCTTACGAAGCATCACGAAGTTGATCTTGTGTTTGAAAACATCATGGACGTATGAAAACATTTTCTCCATTTTGTGTGACAAGCAAATTTTATTTTAAATTGTTGAGAGTTATTTACTTACTATTTTAGTAAAATGCCATACTATTTTATCAAAATAATTATTTCTCTTATAGACGGGAACAAGAAGAAATCATAAATATTTAATTTTAATTAAAAAAATAATTATTGTCATTAACATATAAATGAGCACACCGCTGTTGTGATAAACATACCTTCAACCTTGAGCCGAGATCTTTCGGACACTTGATTCTATAGCGAGAATAGGGGACTGCGTGTCTATATATTATACGTCATTGTTGATGTTATTGCTTGTCAAAACTGTCACATGAAAGCTTGTTTATATTTTCTATTGAAGTTTTTAAAAATTGTTTAACATTTTAGACTATTATCGTTATTAATTAATTAAAACTTTATTGTGTCCTAGTGTTAAAAAAGTATTTTGATAAATAATTTTAATAAATAAATAGATAAATATATAATATAAAATATTATGTAATAATATAAATAAATAGATCAATTAGAACCCCTACACCACTGTATGATTATTGTCAAGTGTCATGAAATTTAAATTTGGCGCATTTGCATTTCCGGATATGTCCGCCATCAGAGGCCACTTTTTTGGTCTCCTTTTCATAACGATTATATTCCCTCTTTTGTCTCATTGCTCGATGGGTACGGCTCTTGAACATTCAGTCAGATTCAGTATAAATCAGTGATATGTATAAATACACAGATCCTGGCCAGATAGCCCTGTTAGTTAAGAAGAGGCCAAGGAAATGAGTGGAAGAAGAAGAAGACTTACAAACCTAACCTTATTCGTATTTTGTATGTTTATAAAAATAATATTCAGAAATTAAGAAAAATTAACCATGAACGGTAAAAGTGATGGCACAGTTAAAGAAGAAACGGATAAAAAAAAGAAAAAATCTAGAGAATTCGATCAGGATAATGGATTTAATGAGTGGGTAAGGAAAACCACTCTTTATTTATATTATTATTTCTTCTTATTATCAAAGAATATAGACGCGTCAAAGCTCTTTTTTTGGCGAACTAACCCTAGAGCAAATTCGCGAAGAAGTTTGGAACATTAGTTCATTAGCGATCGCGTTCCATAATGTTTACGATGCTATAGTGTGGTGCGCGATGAGACACTTAATAAAAAACACAGTGTTCTGCAACGCATTTTTCATTAATAAAACATTGGTAAAACGTAGTGGAAACATAGACCAATATATGTGGAAATGTAAATGCTTGACAAGTACATCAATTCGTGATGGCTCTTTTTTTTTCTAAAAGCCACATGGCCCTTTACCAAATTATAATTTTAATTTATGGTTTTGCTTACGACTTCCCGCAGAATGTAATTAGCAAGGAAGCAGCTACCTCTGGACAAACTATGGCCGACTGGTGCAATTTCTGCCAGGAAATTTGGAGCTGCATCCTGTGGAATTAGGAGGATTCTATGAGAATGGGGAACCCCTTACCGTGGAACTTGACAAATCTTACTTCTTCCACAGGAAGTATCATAGAGGTGCTTATAGAAGAGGGCAATGGGTTTTTGGAGGAGTGGAAAGAAACAGTGGAAAACTGTTTCTGACACCAGTGCCAACACGCAATGAAGAGACACTGCTGCCCATTATATCAAGGTATGTTAATATTACAAATATTTAGTCATATAATAAAGTAATGTTCTTTTTAGAACAATTCTGCCCGGTACAGTAATTGTTACTGATGGATGGGGAGCATATAGGAACATTGGTCTCCTGGGTGGAGGAGTGTATGAGCACCGAACTGATATTCATCAGAATAACTTCGTTAATCCAGACGACAACAGTGCTCATACACAATCGATAGAAAGTATTTGGATGCGCTCCAAAAAGAAGCTCAGGAGACAAAATGGTACTTCCAGAGATTTGTTTCCCTCATACTTACAGGAATTTATGTGGAGGGAATGTATGAGGGGTAAAGACTCATTCATCGAATTTTTAATTTGTGTTACAGAACAATATTTAGTGTAGTTTAACTTAGTGTATTCTTTTCTTTAACTTTTTTTTATTTCCATTTAACTTTACTTTAGTCTGTAGTTTTTAAAGTTTCTAAACTATTAATTTTTAAAATCCACTAGGAAACTAAGTTCTATTTTACTACTATTTTAAATGTAAGTATTTATAGGTATAAGTATTTTAAATGTAACATATAATTTTATTTTATAATATTTATAGGTATAACTTTAATGCTTTTAATTATATATATATATATATATATATATATCTATATATATATATATATATATATATATATTTATAATATATATATAATATATATATATATATATATATATATATATATATATATATATATATATTTTTCACATTTTTGTTTAATTATATATGTATTTTTCAATTTTACATTTTCATTTCATATAATATAAATCTTGCCAATAATTTTATATGTGAGAGTGGGAAATATTTGAGTATATGGCAACACTGACGTATATTAAGCTTACATTTAACGTCAAACATATCAACGAGGTTATATTCATTGCACCAATATTGAAGAAAGCGACGCGTCTATATTCTTTGTTATTATATTGCCTTCTTGTGTACTGAAGGTGTCTAACAACATTTATATTATGCATGTTACACAGCTTTTAGTTCATAATTATGGACCTTACTTTATATTGCTTGCTACTGAAAAATATAAAGCTACTTGCTTTATATTTTTCACTCCTCATCCCCTTCTGTAACCTATTTTCTATTAATCTTTATATCTATCATATATAATTTGTATTGCCTCATTTATTGTTGTAAATAATACTTTAATATCCCAGTTGTCTCTTATCTATCATGTATGCATATCCTGCCTGTATATTTTCAGCTATCTCTGAAATAGTCACATATCAAAACATTTAAAACCTTTTTTATTTTGCTTGCTCCTCAGGTCCATATTTTTAACCTTTTCAGTATTAACCTAACATGAATCATATTAACATTTTTTAAGATTAGAATACATTTAGGGTGGTTATATGGCAGCTAAAAGGGCCAAACTTCTGAACCAGTTTGAGGGATCCAACATTACAAAACTATCCAATATATTTGAAGGAGTATCTATCCATGTGAATGGTTTAACTAGACCTCCAATTGATGATCTAAAGAACTTAATGGCAGCACATGGGGGAGTTTTCCACATGTACCAAGTTTCTAGCACTACCCATATTATAGCTTCCAATTTACCAAATGTCAAAGTAAGCAGAAATCTTTTAAATATATTTTTATTTGATCTTATATTTTTGTATATGTTTATATACTTATATGTTTTATTGTAGATTAAACATCTTGGTACTACCCCCATAGTGAAACCAGCGTGGATAACAGATAGTATAGACTTTGGAAAACTGTTAGATTACCGTAGATATCTTCTATATAACAATCAAAGCAAATCACAGCCAAAAATAGGTTTTCCTGTCATAGAAAAAATGTCACCATCTACATCAATATCTGAAAACGATTCTGTAAACATTGAAAGCAATACAGTATTTGCAGAAACTTCTTCTGTAGTAATACAGAATTCAACAGCTCATGTTAAATCTGAAAAATTATCTTTGTCCAATCAGATTAACAGATTTCCAACAAAAACAGCTTCAGATCCTAACTTTCTTGAGGAGTTTTATAACAATTCCAGACTGCATTTGATATCAACTTTAGGTGCAGAATTCAAACATTTGGTTGGTCAAATGAGGGAATCCTCAGATGGAAAGTTTCCTGGTTTAGAAAAACTAATCTCATGTAAAGGTACTTTTCTCTTTTTACCATGGAAATTGTATATTTGTATATGAGAAACAGATGAACAACTGATGCCTCGGTTTATGTTGGATTAGTTGGTTTATACAGTGAAACTTGGATAATTTGAATCTCAAGGGACCGTTTAAAAATTCGAATTATCCAAAAATTCGAAATAAAAATATATCCACAAAAAACAAAGATGCCTACAAAAACATCTACAAACGATAAAAATCAACAATAGTTTACCATTTTTATCGCTTGCAGATGTTTTCTGCAGAGATATCAAAATATGTTATCATTTTCAGAATTATCCAAAAATTTGAATTAAAAATATATCCACAAAAAACAAAGATGCCTATAAAAACATCTACAAATGATAAAAATCAACAATATTTGACCATTTTTATCGCTTGCAGATGTTTTAGTTACTATTTTTGCCTGAATTTCGTCAAATGAAAAAAATGGGCCAACAAAATTTGGCCCGAATACCAATTACAGCATTTGAAAGCTATAACAAATGGTCAATTATTGTCGATTTTTATCATTTGCAAGTTTTCCCATTGGTATTTTTTGACCAAGTCTTGGCCGAAACAATTGGCAGATAAAAAATGCCCAGTGAGAACGAATCATTAAAATAATAAAACACTACTGGACCAACTCAACATCGAGTTTTTTAAATGAAATTTTTATTTTGCGAGAAAAATTAAGAGATCAATATAAACAATATAAGCAAGAATATACATAACATTCATCAATAATAATGCAAGTAAAAAGTGTATTAAATATCACGAAATATTTAGTCGAAAAAAATGTTTTTTTGTTGAGTGCTTGCAACAAAAAGTGCGTGCAAGCACTCTTGACCATGGAGCTGCGCGAAGGCGGAGTCAAATTCACGTAAAGGCAGAAAGCTTCTATTGTAAGTGGAATTATACATTGCATAGTACAATGCGTTTCGCACGGAAGTCGGGACTAAACCAAATTTCGTCTACTGCGCCGTGGTCAAGAGTGCTTGCACGCACTATACAATGACTCCATTTTCTGAAAACTTTTGCTTGGCACCGGGAGTTATGTAAACTTTTACTTTTTAATAAAAACGAAACCGGAAGTCGACCTCAAAACCGGAATGCAATTTTTATTTCATCAAATGTCGACATGGATATCATTTAGCAGATAATTTTGTATGCTGATCACAAATCTGGTGTCAGATTTGCTCTATCTTGACGTTTTATGCGCGTTTCGGGTCACTTCCGGTGTCGGATCGCATCCGGAAGTACACATTTAGATTCGTCTCGACGAGACCTTTCGATCCATATATACATTGTGGGGTCTAAAACTTAAAGTAAATTTTAACTTCCGGTCATCTCAAAATCGGAAGTGAATTTTTGTACCAAAAGTATATCTTGACAATCTAATACGTAATACTAATAATATTCCGAAAAAATATTTTAATTATCTAATATGGTTTTTGAGTAAAGTGGTGGACAAGAAAAGGGCTTAGCGTTTTAGTATATAAGATTTTGTCTCAAAAAATTTATTGAAAATAAGTATACATATTTGTTACAATTAATGAAAATAGACTAATTTTTTCCAAAGAAATCCGAAATTTTTAGCTGGTTTTTAGAATTTAACTTCTCGGTAATGTCAAACGATTCTAAGATGTTCAGTGAATTAAAAATAGAGTGACTTACATCATTTTTACTTTCAAAGTACCGTTTAAGTTGCGTAATATGGTTTGTTGCTTCGGCTGCACTCGGAATATGTATTTCTCCCTCAACTGATGTCGCGTCATCTTCATCACTCTCTTGTTTTTCATTATTGTCCTTAAGCACTTCAGCCATGATCTATGCATCGGTTACTTCACCACATACTGTAACATCTTCATCCACATTGCCAAAATCTTCATAAGAGATGGCAGGATCAGAAATGATGTCCCCCAAGCAGACAACTGAAAGCAACTCTTCTGTTAAAGTGTCATCTGCATTCTTCTCCTTTTTATGAAACCAGCTCTTTTGAAACAGTGTTTGATCGTTTCGGGTGTTACTTGGTCCCAAGCTTTCTTACACATTTGAGATGCTTGTAGAATGTCTAACTTTATTTTAAGGGTGTCGCAATCTTCCATCAATATGTTTTCAACCATAAAACGTCTGTAAAAATGTTTATGACACCCTGGTCCGTAGGCTGGAGAACTGAAGTCATGTTAGCAGAAAAAAAATAACTTTTACATTTTCCATCAGTCCATCAGGGATAGTGGTGTGTGCCGGACAATTGTCAATAAACAAAATAACTTTTCTTTTCCGCAAATCGCCAGGAAATTTTGACATTCCTGTCAAAATTTCTTGAAGAAAAAGAAGGACTTCCTTACTGTAAGGAAATGATATTTCCGTACAGTTGTTAGTGTTCTACATAAATGAGCGTCAAGTTTGACAATTCAACCTCAATACGTTTCCATAGTAACCCAAGTAATTTTATTAGGAATTTCAAAGCACCATTTATTTGGGAATAAAATTATCGCGTTTTCTTTAAATCAATCAATATCTGTCGAATTTTAAACGATTTGCGGAAAAATAGTATGTTTACCTCAAAGGAAAAGCCACAATCTTCACAGTCGTCCAGGAATGTTAAGCTTTTCCTACCCGGTAAACAATGTACTATTTATGAACTTTTGTCCAATTTTTTCAGACAGTTCTCGAAAAGATCACTAGTCATCCAAGCTCCTGCGCTGCTCACATATTCCTCTGGGTTTGACTTGACGTTCTTAAAACAACGCAGATTAGCCGACTTGCCAATCATCAGTAGAGGCAGTCTTTCCGATCCGTCCATGTTTGCACCAATTAGGAGAGTTACTCTTTCTTTACTTAGTTTTCCTCCGTGACATTGTTCGTTTTTAAATGGTTCGTTTTGTCAGGAGTGCATTTAAAAAAGAGACCCGTTTCGTCAACATTAAAGATATCTCTTTCATCTATACCCTAAATCATCTCCAAATTTTTTTCCATTGTTTGGCTTCTTGCTGATTAACGGTACCACTCTCTCCACAAATGGATTTGAAAGAAATTTTGTTGCTTTCTTTAAAACCATCGAGCCACCCTGTTTTCCCCATTTCAATAGCAAATTGTTCAGAATTGTTCACAACTGTCTAAATTTGGATGTTCTGGCTCCCTTAACCTTTTTTGATCTTTACCGTACTCACTTTCATTGTTGAGATTTTTTTCTTTATTCTTCAAGTAGGTGGATAATGTGTTAGGAGGAATTCCAAAGTCCCTGGTAATCTCAGATTTTTTCTTCGTCCCCTTTTCTACTTCTTTAATTGCGGCTATTTTTCCCGATAACGTTAAAGTTTTGTATGTGCGAAGTTTACCATGCGGCGACATCTTTACTCAATACGAAGTGACTTATTGACATGATTTTCGGTGATTGCAATTGCAACGCCAACGCATCTCAACTGAAGGGGCGTGCCATATGGGGTAGAATTTAGGTGACAGGTACGGGTACAATGTACAATGGCCTTGAATGCCTTGAAACAAGTGGCACGTTAGAACAGAAAAGAATACTACCTCTTTTCGCGGAAACTTCCAGCATGAAATTGGCATTTTTAACTTGTAGAAAAGTTCGAATTATCCAAAATGTAATTCGAATTATTCACGACTTTTTAACATTACTTATATAGGACATGCTAGGGACCAGAATAAAAATTCGAATTAAAGATTTCGAATTAACGAAGTTCAAATTAAGCAGGTTCTACTGTATTTGTTTATGTCACAAGTTGAAAAACCAATTCTTTCTTTGGTGTTTTAGGATTTTATACAAAATTTGGCCTCAAATAAAGTAGTTACAATAGATGGTATATTTTTGCCTATAGAACAGTTTTATTAGAAACACAGATAAACAGATTCCCTTCAAATGCCTATTTCTAAATAATTATTGAGCAGTAAGTAACTACATAACTAGGGAAAAGATAGGGATTAATAATAAACCAAACAAAAACACATTATATGGAAATAAGAGGAGACATAAGAAATAATAACAAATATATCAAAATGAATGGAGCAGTGACTGTCTATAGTTTTGAAAAAGTGTCAGAATTTGAATAGTTAGGAGTAACCATAACGAACACAGGAAAAGAAGAAAAAGAGATAGACAAAAGATTATTGAAGAGAAGCAGAGCGATAGGGTCACTAAATTCATTACTGAAAGCAAAAAATGTGTTGAGAACTGCGAGTCTACAAGACAGTGATCAGACCATTGAATAAAAAGACAAAAGAGGGAATCTAATACTTATGAAAAGGAGACCAAAATATTCATAAAAGTGGCCTCTTAATATGGCTGACATATCCGGAAATGCAAAGGGCGCCAAATTTGAGACTATGTTCCAATATTATTTTAAGCACTATGTTCCAAAAACTTTTTTAACACTAGAGTTTAAAGTTTTAAATAAATAACGATAATAGTGTAAAATGTGACACAATTGAGGGGTTAGAAGTAAAAGAGTTTAAGTGCACTTTTTTAAAAATATGGTCTAAGAACAGATTCGCATACTTAAATGGTATTATAACTTGGTGGTAAAATGATTTAAGCATATTTCACCATACAGTCGCCATCTATCGCTATTACATTTTATTTAATGAAAACAATTGCAGTTTGCATTGGTAGTAAACAGGTTTATGTGCGCTTGAACCGTTTTACCACCAAACTATTTTTAGTATTCTGTAAAAGCACATGTAAAACACAACATTATTTTTTAATTTGACAATTGACTGTGACAATTTTCAAAAGTTAATAAAATATTATGAAAATGAGGAAACCATTTCAAACGCTAAACGGGATTTAGAATTACATCACAGAAAAGCTAAGAAAGCAAACGATTCTAAAAAATTAGATATTGAAAAACACAAAAATATTGAGAATACTGTCGTTATTTGTTTCGATTTGCAACAGGCATTGCCAACACCACTAGTAACTACGTCCAAGGTATTTTTCCTTCGTCAACTATGGACGTACAATTTTTGTATATACAACTTACTTGCTGGACAAAGTCCAATGTTTTCATGGAATGAAACAGTTGCAGCAAGGGGTTCCCACGAAATAGGCTCATGTGTGATAAAATTTATCAGGAGTCTACCCCCAAGGTAACAAAGATAGTTGCATATAGTGACTCTTGTGGAGGGCAGAGTAAAAACAAAAACTGCAAACTGTTCTCCTTCATCGTTCAAGCTACTCATATCACCGAGATCCATCACAAGTTTCTGGAACCTGGTCACACCTATATGGAGCGTGACCGCAGTTTTGATTTAATTGAAAATAAAAAACGACAAATTCCTCAAGTTTTTGTTCCAGCAGATTGGGAATGTGTTATAAAAATACATCCTCAAAGTTTGTGGTTTACAACATGACGACAGAAAATTTTTACTCCTTTTCGATACTACATGAAATAATGAAAGATCCTAAAAAGGATTCCATTGGTCAAAGAATACAATGGCGCAGTATTTCCTGGTTAGCATATTTTAAGACAGAAAAACTGGCTTTCAGGTACAAGCACACTTTAAACCAGGATATTGAGTTTTCGATGTGTGCTATGGGAAAAGCACAAAGTGGACGTCCATTTTTTCAGCTCTCCAAATTGAACCCTATTACTGGCACGACGCTACCAATTAAGGATGCCAAATATAAAAATGTGTTAAGCCTCTTGGACTACATTCCCTTATGTCACCACTCCTTTTACCAAAATTTGAAACATACTGGAACATCAACGGCAGATTCAAAATTGGAGTCAGCAAAATCAGCTGCCAGCAGAGACGACGCCGACGGGAATGATGGCGAAGAAGATATTTTCTTAGAGTATGATTACGAATGATATTGTACTTAAAAGTTTACAAAATAAAGTTTAATTGAATACCTAAAAAATGATTAGTAATATCTAATATCTGCACTTGAACCGTTTTACCAGTAACATTTATAAACACCATGTCCCGATTCAAGTACATTTTTTCAGAATTTATAAAACTCAAACAACTTTAACGCTGATTATCTCAGAACTATCAAAGCTGCACTTAAACCCTTTTACGACTGACCCCCCCCAATTGTTCAAAAACTTCAATATAAATAGGCTTTCATGTGACAGTTGGGACAAACAATAACATAACCCAACTAAATTTTATTTCTTAAACAAATAAAGAGACTCTCTTTCCTTGTTTTATCAGACTTATTCATTTTGACAATTCAGACATATATTATATGTTTTAAAGTAGATGACTTTAAATGATATTGTCAATATTTTTGAGTTTTGTTGTTGGGATGACTTTATTATAAGATAGTTTATACAATTACATGAAATCATCTTTAACTCAAGAATATCTGTCAGAAAAATCATAGCATATGATTTGTCTTTAAAACGATAATCACATGCAATGTTGACAGTAAAATTCTCCTGGTAGTGATCCCATAACAAATATGTTGTCTTCTTCAGTATCACTGCCAATTTTAGCATTGAACTGTTACCTCACCTCCATTAATATATACATTTGTACATCGCTTTTCTAATGCCACCCTTTCGTATTTTTCTTGGGCATACTCTTTTTCCCTTCTTCTCATATCCTTTAGCCCTCTCAGGCATCAGATGCATTGGTTTCCATTTCATCATTTTCTTTGGCCTCATGTTTCCATTCATACCTCATGCATAACCATACCTAATTAAACTATTGGCTCTAATAGTATCATTTATTATATTGTCAATACATATTCTTTCAGTTATCTCATCATCATCAGTTGCATTACAGCTCGTTATGAGCCAAAACCTTCAGAACAATCTTCCATTCGCCCCTGTCTCTTGCAACTTTTCTCCATGCTTTAACTCCGATGGATTTTAGATCGTCCTCTATATTATCTCCTCTTTCAGTTATCTCGTCATTTATAATTTTGTCATGTAATGTTCGCCAACTACCACGTTTTTAAAACCCCATTTCGATTGAAAGTAAGATTAAAAAATATTTTTTAATCAGTCAGTTCCCAATAGAATTATTTCATTTATGATAGAATTCTTCGATTTCTTGATCTGAAATAAAATTATTTAACAACATATAACATTTACAGTTTCAGAAGGTGCAATTATAATTCCCTCCACAGTAATAATGCACATTGACATGGATTGTTTCTTCGTTTCTGTGTCACTTCGCAATCACCCAGAATTAAAAGGAAAGCCTGTAGCTATCACCCATGCTCGAAATGGTCAGCTATCCAACGTAAGGCCAGATCAAAAATCTGCTCGAGAACAAGAATTTTCGTTGTACTCAGAGAGACTGCCAGTAGGTGTCACTTCGCGGGTGGACCAAATAGATACCCAGTCCAGCATGTCAGAGATAGCCAGCTGCAGTTATGAGGCCAGAAAGTTTGGTATTAAGAATGGTACGTTTTTGGGGCAGGCTATTAAAATGTGTCCTGAATTAAAGACATTACCATATGATTTTGAGGTAAGTTATATTTGTGATTATCAAAAGTAGATATATTAAATTCCTTATTACTCTTTTAGTTGATTTAATGTAAATTTTCCATCACGTGATCACGACATTCAGTTAAAAATATCTCCCTATGACATTTTGGAGTAATAGTACGCTCGGTATATTTATAATTGACTTAGACCTCTTATAGACGTTAATTTTTGTAGGATACCGGTCCGCGACCAATCTTCGCCGAGTCAGGTCACCAAGGGATCACTTCGGTGACCCCTTGGCTTAAACGACACTGGTCTGTGTAAGAAAGTGTGGTCAGTCATGCTTACGCTCGGTATGAATGTGTGTTCAGTCATGCTTACGCTCGGTTATGAATGTGTGTTCATTTTCTAGGAATCATCACTACCATCTGCTACACAGCCCAAGTTGAATTAATCCACTCCCTTCATTCCTATTTATAGCTGTCATTCTCTAGTTTCGTGTTCTCTCAGATCCTTCTGTACTTATATCATATTTTTGGTTGTCCCTTTTATCACTTTTCCACCAAGTGTTGTTGAGTTATGATTCTTACTGGTTCAGAGGCTTCCATGCGATCCACATTACTCATCTATCACAGTCTTTCAAGATTAATTGACTTTACCATATTTGGTTCTGTGTAATTCGTAAGCTTGGTACAATTCGAAATTGTGTCGTCTTCTCCAAATCCCATATTCACATAAACCACCACAAATATATCAAAAGTACCTTTCTTTTTAATATTTCTAATTGCGATTCGTTCTTTTTTAGCAATACCTAGGTTTCTAAACCACACCATATGGAGGCAGGCCGCTCAAGTAGAAGCGGACCTTCATAGTTTCGTAAAAGGCGACTAATTGGAGCAGCAGTCTGCTGTCCATTATCCAAGTTCATAACATGTCTCTTTGTGATACTAATTACTCCCAACCGTCATATGACACCCAAGAGGGTTTTTAGCATATAGTACTCTAGTATTGGCTCAGTATCATTGTGGCCACGTTAGAGAAAACCTGCATAACTGAGGCTGGAAGGCAGTTCTGCCCTCTATGTAATCACTTGCTTGATTGTAGTGTTATGGACAATATTTTACCATTCTATGCCAGATAAATAAGACGCTTAATTTCCGTAGTTAATTTGTATTGTTGTCTCTATCGGAGATATCAGTCTATACTGGCGTTGTATTACTTTTTTTCTACAGTAAAATGCTGAGGCGAGCGTCACGGAACTGACGCTACAAGATGACGTCGTTACGGGAAGCGTCACAAATAGCGGTTCTTCACATTGATTCACTACTTTCGATCAATTTGCTTCTAGTCATCATATATTTAGTCCAAGCAGGTATAAATTAAAGACTGCATGAAAAATAACCAACAAAATGCAGACATTCAATGAGAAGTAAAAAATTAAAAGAATATTTGTCAAAAAAGATTTGATTCGCAACGATTTTCAAAATTAAAAGTCATAAACGTCATCCAATTAATAACAATATTGAACATCTGTTTAAATTTTTATGACATTTCTGGTTCTAAAATAATTTCATATGAATACAATTATTATTTTTAAAACATCTTATTTAGTTTATACAATAATTATATTTACTATCAAATGATATGTAATTGTATTTTATTATTAATTTAATATTTCGTCTGAATTTGACAGGTCTATTTGACAGATGGCGTTAGGAGCAAATATAATAATTTATAAAATTATTTTAATCCGTAAACTAATTGTCGAAACCAAATTCAGATATTTGCTTTAATCTGTGCCTTCTAATAATTGCAAGGCAAAACAGACGTTGATAAAGATGTTATTGGAGACATGGGGAATCTAAAATTTGCATTCCACGTCATATCTCCTCAACTAAGCAAAATTCCTTAGCGAATTGGTTTTTTGTACTCGTTCAGAGTAATCGGAATAAAAAGGAAAAGACAGTTAAGATTTAATTTCACGTATAGTGCGTCAATGTAGCCGCTTATACGTATTTCGGCTTAATAGGCCTCGTCAGAACGGCAATTCATTGTCGCTCTGAATGTGAAAATAAATCTCTTCTGTCTTAGGAAGCAACTCTCACATGGCTTCGAATGGACGCAAATAGCAACATCTGATATGGTGGCTCCTTCGAATTCATGCCGATATAATTTTGATTTTAGCATTTCCCAGATATAAAAATCCAAATATGCCAAATCTGGTGATCTAGGGGCCATTTTATTGTTCTTCGTGTAGAAGTTAATCGTCCAGGGAATGTTTGTTCCAAATTTTTTGTAACTTCGATTGCATTATGTGCTGGGCAACCATCCTGTTGAAATCAGACATCATCGAAGTTGACCGCAAGGTTTCGAACTGCTGGAATAATCTGATTGCGTAATAAATCTAGATACTTACGTCCATTCAGATTTCTCGTAATAAAAAATGGACCAATTATATTATCGTTATAAATTCCAGTCCACACATTTAATTTCTTTGGACAGCAATACTCAAATGTCTATTTTCCCTAGACCAATAGCGGACGACAGATGGATTATGAATTGTGAATGAAGATTTATCGGAAAACAAAACATTTTTTTAAACGCTATTGTTCTTATTCGATTTCTCCATCATAGCTTCACAAAATTCCATACGTTTAAAATGATCGCCTGGAAAAAGTTTTTGGGTGGTTTGCACTTTATAGCAATTGTATCTATTTCTTTTTAAAATATTCCTTACAGTTCTCCCCTTTAGGTCAACTTCATCCGCAATTTGTCTACTCGAGTAAGGCGTTTCTTCAGTAGCTAAACAAACTTTCATTTCGCGAGTTTCGCCTTCAACAGAGATTTGTTTCGATCGTGGTTGATCCTTTGGACGACATTTCATACAGGTATTTATGAAACCGAAATTTTCAAAGTTTTTGATAATTGATCGTACTGTTTTCTCTGTCGGAATTGGGCGATTTTCAAAAGTGGCAATAAATAACTGTATTATTTTTACAATAGAATGGTTTCCATAATACCATTTCACCATTTGAATATTTTCTTCTTGAAAATACACGCTTAGCATGAGCATGTTAATTATTGGTTTTCAACCTGTTACCACCACAGCTAAAAGTCAAATAGATAAACCGTATTAACCTTAAACCTGCTGTATAGATAAGCACCACCTATTCTTTTGAGGGGAAATTATACACTCGCAGAGAGGGAAAATCGTTTTTACTATTTGTCTGTCTACTGAAGTGGGTTATTTATTTAGTTCACGCTGTTGTCGCATATCAACTTCTCAATTCAGTGTTCTTTGTTAATTAAGTATTGATATAATCGTTTAAAAAATAACAGTTACATGATTACTTCATGTAAGTTTGGTTAGGGCAATATTAATTTTGCCCTACAGCAATATTAATATTAATTTTGGAACACTGTTTAAAATTAGACTCGCTATCCAACATGCGTGGATTGTGTCTCACTCGTATTTAAACAATTAAGTGTCATCTTTGTTCCACATACTGAAAACGTATACGGTAGTTGAAAACTTGCCGTATCAGTATCTTCGCGCTAGTCTACTGTACCGCCTACTGTATTTTTTTTTTCAATTCAGTGGATCTTTCGGTGTAGGGGACTGATTCAAGCATTTGTCATCGTATTACCTTTATTTACGCCGAAGATTTATTAGACATATGCATGTATTATGCAAACAGTTTGATTTATTAAAATAAATTTTTGTACTAGTTTTTGCTCACCCTGTACAAATAGTGATATTTTATAACCTTATATTTTCTTGCAATTTGTTTTTAATGTCTGTTTTATATTAAAGTTTCTTTTGGTATTGATTCTTAATTAATTAGTTAAAAAATAATTGTAGGGCATCAAAGAAGTATCTCATACTTTGTACAAAACCGTAGCTTCTTATACTTTGGACATAGAAGCAGTAAGTTGCGATGAAATGTACGTGGATGTGACTAAAATTCTAAGGAAAACAGGACTGACAGTGGAAGAATGGGCGTCATTCATCAGAAATGAAATTAGGACTATTACAGGCTGCCCTTGTTCAACAGGTAAAGCAATGACTTTATAAGTCTTATAGTGTTGATTAAAGTGCTGATTTAGATAGATATAGGTCTCTTCTAATATTCTCTCATAGGAGTTATTGACGGACAAATACTAGAAAATACCACGGACTTTGACATATTCTGCCACTACATTTTCTTGAACTTTAAGGCAGCTGGTGATACTACATATTACAGACTACAATTATACTCGGTTATGATCGACCTTGTGATACCAAAAGAATTGGTAGGATAAATTAAAATGGCAATGAGAAAAGTCAAATATAAAGTGCGAGCTTAAGGGGATCTCCTTCTTCTTCTTCTCGTGCCACTCCTAGCGGAGATTGGAAATCATCATGGCCACTGCGACTTTGTTAGTAGCGCGCCTAAAAAGTTCAATCGAACTACACCCGAACCATTCACGTAGATTACGAAGCCACGATCTCCTAGAACCAATTAAAACTAACAGAGAACTGTGCCCAGGAGAATCGTTATTCTGCATGCTATTCAACATAAATGGCTTTGGAAAAGTTATGAGAGACTTGTGGATAAACATAAACTGTACAGTATACGCTTTAAGTCTAAAATTGGAAAAACACGATGAAGCAGTTTCACAAGTAAAGAAGCCTTCACACGTATCATAAAGCCTCAGAAAACATCAGTCATTGGTGTATTGTAAAAACAATACATAAAAACAGCAATAACTTAGAGTATACCGATTAATCGGCATGGTTTCCGAATACAGGTATAGTAGACACGTAATTTCGTTGGAAAATTTACGGGAACAAGAGCGAGTAAGACACTAGCAAATTGGCAACAGTGTTAGAGTGAGAGACCATTATGATATTCTACTGAACAGTAGCGTCGGTATCTAATTTTAAATTAAATAAAAGTTATTATTTTGCAAACATTTGATTTTAAGTGTAAATGGAACAGTCGTATGTCTTCAAATTATGTGGGTATCAGTAAAAATTTTATTTTACTAAAAATTTTTATTTTCTATAAAGTTTAAATAAAAAATATGGGTGTTATCAACTTCTTATATACCTAGGTAGTAATAACACTAATCGATTCGACTGAACAAAACTTATTGTAAAATAATAATACCTATACTAAAAAAAATGTTAATAACAGTACCTAATTATCCCATACAATTAAACAGTACGATCAAATATTTACGTTTTATGAACACAAATGCTCATAAATATTAAAACTATTCCTATTTTATCCTTGATAACTTTTATGTTATTGTAATCACGAAAAAATAGAGAATTCATTTTTTAAATTAAATACAGGATGTTCTATTAAAGAACCAGAACTGCTTTGACACCGTGTTAGAGAAGACTTAGTACCTCCATAATTTTAAAATGGCTAAGAGGTCTAAAACTTTTATTAACATTTTTTTATATATACCTATCAGGTATTTTATAATAACGTAGCCAGTACTTTGACTATTTTAAATTAAATACTTTGTACCTTTTTATTCTGTTAATAAGTGTGTTTTTGCTCTATTTTCAAAGATATATAAGCAATCTACAATTACAATAAAAACAAAGGTTTCAACTAACTACTGATTAGAATTAAGCACTTGCTAATCTACTCAAAGTCACTAGTATCACTCGTATCTTCTAAATTTATAGTTAGTGTGGTTAATGCCGGTAAATAGTTAACATAGTCATTTTCCACACAGATTACATATTTGATTACATTTTTCCAGTTGGTCGCTGTGATCTTTGTGACTTCTCTTCTAATTAACTGGAGAACAGTAGACGAAAATTTAGGAGCCACGTTTCCTCTCCTGATATTTCCTTTAAGTTGAGCGCATGTTAACTCTATTGGGTTTAATGTACAATAATATGAGGGAAATCTAAGCACGGATGCCCATTACTGCGAACACATTATCAACAAATTTCTTCTGATACTGTCTACTATAAGCAACTAAGCAATCTCCAACAATTGCTTTTTACTATATGATGCCTCAAAATACAAATCTTTCTCAAATAAAAATTCCTGAATTAGTAAGTGAAGTTTTTTTTGGCCTTAGGTTCACGACCTATTTAGCCAGACAATATAGGTTGAATATATAAAAAAAGTCTATTGGGTGACTATACAAAAAGGATTGAACGGAAACACACGTTTCACGCTAAGGTGCCCTTCATAGCGACTTTTTTTTAACACAAACAATACAGGCAACGGTTAAAGGTAAATGACATAAAAGGAAAGACAACGGGAAATACAACAACTAACGTCCTACCATTTCGGATTCACACAGATTTTCCGTTTGGTACGTTTGAAAAATTCCCATAAAATTGATCTAATAGTTGAATTTCGACTACCTAAATAGAGAATAGAAGCAACGTTCTGCGGCAGAATGATTTTTTGTTGGGAGATGGCTTGAAATACAAATTTTATGGCTTCTTGATTATACCGACATTGAAACATCCAGTGGTTAAGGTCGTCATAACTGCCATTACATTCACATATATCATTTCGGAAAGTTTTATTTTATATAAGTAAGCATTTACTGTAGCATGTTCCAAAAAGGCATCTAATGTACATAGTATAAATTTTCCGAGAGATGGGACTTCTGTCACTTGGAGGAGTAGATGGAAAAGTTGGATATATACTGCAGTATGTATTTTTGCTACTGTTAGTAAAGGATTGCCACTCAATTTCCCAATTAAGTCTAACATGTTTCTTCCTAGCTGAAACTATATCCCATTTGGGCAACTCGTTGTACTTTATACCCACTAAAGTAGCGTCTTTAGCCAAACGGTCTACTTTTTCATTGCCTGGAATATTAGAGTGACCTTTAAACCACAGTTTAGAGAAGTTAAGATCCTTAGCTTTTCAAGCGCATCTACAATTAGTCTGTTGGTATATATGTGTTTAGAGAAGTGTCTTAATGCGAGGAGGACGGACTGTGAGTCAGATAAAATTATATATCGTTCGAAATATAATGTGCTATTAATTATCCAATCCAACGCCTTGACAATGGCTACCAATTCAGCTGTGAATATTGAGCAATCTGATTTTAATTTGTACTGAAAATAATCTTGAATATTGTCTATGTAAATGGCACAGCCAATACCAGCTGGCGATTTTGAACCATCGGTATAAATTTTACACGAATGGTTAGAGTCTTCCAGCTTGTTCTGTACTACTGAATCTTCGTGAACAATTGAAATATATGAAGGAATTACTACAGTAGGTTTATATTCATAAAGTAAGTCATAATTGGAGCCAAAGAATGGAATCCCTCCTCCATTGAATGAAAATTGGGATAAATTGGGAAAAGCAGAGCAAGTCAAGTTATATTTGGAATATTTCTCTTTAATCTTGAACGGTATGATGCTTTATCCATGACACACAACACTATATTTAGGTAATTTCGGAAGAAGATACTTTTCAAACCATGATTCTAAAATTGAACTTTCCATATACTCATGGTACTCTAGAGACGCGTCTTTAATTTTTTTTACAGATATTAATAATACATCGTCGATCCATCCATTTTCTCCACCGCAGTGTAAAATTATAATTCTTTGTCCTTTATTGGGCGGTACTGAATTAGAACACTTTTTGGTATTATTCTTCCAACTTTTTTTGACGGTATCAAGAGTATCATACCAGGTCTCATCTAAAATAAACAATATTTGGTGTCATTTTTCGATATTAAGTTATCTGTCTGATATAATTATTTCTTAAAGAAATTATACTAGTACTTTCCATTAGTGCCTGCGCTTATCTAAAGTTTTGTACTTAAAATTGGCTCTAAGAAATAATCGAAGTGTTTTTGCTGAACATGAGATAATGTCCTTTCGAACCAATTTACTTCGAAGTAAATTTAAACAAAATACATTTCGTATCTTGTTCTGGATATAGGTTCAATTAAGTTCGGTTCGATTTGTCTGAATTTGCCACAATCCTTTCTCCTCTGTCTAGAAGAAGATGTTTCTCCCATAATCTTGTAGCAGCTTGCTTTGGGCACTCTGGTTAAAAAACATTTTTCTGCAATTGCCTATGATTTATACAATTCATCAGAGAGGTATTGAACATGTCGCTTACGTTTTACTACACAGCTTTGTAAATCTTCCAATTGATTAGAGGAGTTCCACTGGCTCTTCAGCTGCAGAATTATTATCACACTACGGACGCCACCTTTTAAAAGTATCTTCGTAAAATGGTAAAAGAAGTTTAGAAAGAACACTTATGAAGTCACAACCAAACTTACTTGCAGTTCTCTATTTGAATTTAACTGAACGCTGTAGTAGTTATGGTTATACTAAAAATATTTTTGTTTCCCAAAATCTATTGGTTTAAAAATAAAATATACCTACCTACCGAAGTGTACACCACTGGGTGGTCGAAACGTGACTATTTCTGATAAACTACTTTATGGTTTCGGTCGGTCAGGCAAATATTGTTATATCTTACCCAAAGGATGCATAAGGCCCGGCGCAAATTGAGCACAGCCCACGCGCAGCCCACGTATGGTCCAACCTAGTCCAAGTACATGTTTTTCAATACTAACGTATATTGAACACAGCCCACGCCCATGTCAAATATTTATGTAGAAAATATGTTCTATCCATAAAATTAGGAAAAACACAATTACGAAATTACGAGTGTGCTGATTGTAACGAAAAAGCTGGACTATATATAGGAGATTGTTTTCGCAAATATCATTCAAAGAAAAGATAGACTGTCTTAAGTATATTAGTTTAAATAAAGATTTTATTTTCTAAAGACCTTTTAATTTTTACCTAATATCCCACTAACAATTTCTAATCTGAAAATATAAATATCTTGAAAACTTTCACAAATGCTAAGGGTAAAAAATTGAAATCCTTCAACAAAAAACTATTATTTTTCTACTTTCTTCATGTTCTTTTTTAATTTAATTTCAGTGTATAAAAGCCATTACAACATGAGCATCACGAAAAAGTACCATCAAATTTTATTTGAAGTTTTCATCTTGCATTTACATTTTGCTAGGAAATGAATATTTGTTTTTTTTCCTTAGTTCTCGATTTGTTATATTTCTCATTTTATTTAATAAAAAAAAATGATTTAAATTAATTTTTTTTTTAATAATTATAACGGCGACTTACATCCGAGTCGCTTAGCACAAATAAAGAAAATATTAGTTTTGTTCTCATGTAATCTTCATTACTAGTATCATACAAGACACTAAAGCTTCGAACAATTTCAATAAACTTTTCCATTTTCACTGAATAACAAAAAATATGGTCACACAAAACAAAATAAATAAGGTTAGGTAGAGACCCACGAAACTGTGTTGCTAGCACAACTATATCCACGCCAACCATGTCTGGCAGTAGCCTGGCCGTGGTTTGGGTTTAATATGCGTCGCTCCGTCTAAAACCACGTTTTACAAAATAACCCACTCGTGGGATATGCTCAATTTGCGCCGGGCCTAAGTCTGCCGATACTAGAAAGCGCATTATGATTTGTCTTAATAGCGATATCCGATGTTTTTATTGGCTCTTGGTCCACGTGGGTTGTTCAACAGTTCGATGAAAACTTCAACGGGGTGACTGTCTATATTTTCAAACAAAATACCAGGCACATCTGAATGTAAATATCGATGAGAATATTAAAACTTTGTATTATTATACATCTCAATCATTGATTAGTTTGCAGTTAATAACTACTCCTGGTAGAGTACTTTTATTTTAATTTTTATTGCTTGCTTTTATTACAGATAAATATATTTTTACACAGTTTCACCGAAATACGAGGCGCCTATACCATAGTTTTTTCTAATGATAGCACAGCTTCCTAGCAGGAATTATGATTGTGCATCATAACTCGAAAAATCAGCAAACAAACTGAACCTAAAGTCAAATTCCACAATTTAGAAGAGTGATTCATTGTTTAAAGGCGGTGAAGTGGGGAAAGACGTATGAAAATCCAGTGGCGTACACTCACTTTTTTTTAACGTTAATTATATTATATTTTTCAAATATTATTGTTCGAAATAGGCCACAATATATTTATTTACAAGTTTTTATTGACGTTTCGATTTCTATATCCAAAGTCCGCGTTGAAAAATATAAATGATAGTTATATTTTTTTATTTGTTTATTATTATATATTTTTATAATCTTATATTATTTATTTTCTTTTTTTATTCTATCTTTAAAAACGGTCTCTGGAATAGAGATCGAAACGTCAGTGTATTAAACACGTAAATAGATATATTGTGGTTTATTTCCAACCTTATCCCTAAAAATACAGAATGCCACAAACACAATATATAGGAAAACAAGTATATGTCATTTGTATGTTTAAAAACGGTCTCTTTATAGAAATCCAAACGTCCGTAAATTAAACATTTGAATAAATATATTGTGTATATTTATTCAAATGTTTAAATGAATATTTGTGAATAACATAAAAATAAATATTACTATCATTTGTATAATTGAAAACGGTCTCTGGATATAGAGATCGAAACGTCAGTAGATAAACATATGAATTCATATTTTGTGTTGGTAATTCCCTACATTCCCCTAAAAATACAGAATGCCACACACACACACACACAAACAAAAAGTAATAAAAAGCAATTAATTTTACAAAAAGCTTACTGATGCCACCTAGCATCAGTAAGCTTTCGCAGAAGTTACGCTAAAACGTCTTTTGACGCGACCCGTCCTAAAAGAGTTACATAATGAAATTTTTTTTAAAACAAATTTTAAGACAGTTTCCACGCCACCCCAGTAGCTATGTCTTGTGGCGCGTTACTTTTTTAAATGGGTGTTCGCCAAGAGCCATATTGTCCCATTAAATAAAATGAGCAAAACACTTTAAAAACAGTATAAAACAAAACAAAATAAAATTCTATAAAACAAAATAAAATTCTATAAAAACAAAATAAAAATAATTTTTGATGTAACGAAACATTGTACTATTCTATTTAAACACAAACACTATACACACTTGCTATGTTCTTCTCATTTTTTTTTATTCTGAAGATCTTACTAAACTATTAGAAAATATTATTCGCTGTCTAAATCTGAAGATGCAGTGCTGCTATCGCTGTCATTATCTTCACCTGGTATAATGATAATTGGCTCTAGTAAAACTTCGATATCAAGTTCCCACATACGACGTTCTTCTTTAATTATGTGGCCTATACATTTAGCCCATTTCTCTGGAGTTACATGGAGGATTGCTTGAATTAAAAGTTCCTTAACTTCGTTTAATTTAAACGTTTTGTTATTGCGTGCTACTTCTCCTTTCACTTGCGCCCAGATAAGTTCAATGGGATTAGGTTCGCAATGATAAGGTGGTAGACGCAGAACTTTGACACCATAATCTTTTGCAGTTTCATCCACATCATATTTAAGATATTCACTTTTCCTTAACCGTGCAATGTCAAGTAGCTGAATTTTGAGCATTGATTCTTCGTATGCAATCCCCTTTTCTGTAAGCCATTCTTGAATTCTCCCTTTCCGCCATGCCGTCGTCGGTAATTGTTCTAGTCTGCGGCTATGGTATGGCGCATTATCCATTACAACCACAGACCCAGGTTCCAATTTAATATAAACAGAAACTCCAACCAAATAATCACAGAATTTAACTAAAAATTTACTATAAAACGACAAACTATAACACTCGTATTATCAATAACACAAATTTATAACAAATATATTCAGAAAATGGAACACATACATACCTTCCGATACGCCAATGTAATTGAACAATATATGACTTGATTTCTTCATCAGCATTACCGTCAAACAAGTTTTACAGCTCTGTCTGTGAGTCGGAACTCCGTCGCTTAGCGCAAGGTTGCCAAGAGATTGAAAAGTAATGTTTTAAAATATCGATTTTTATTTTATAAATTTAAATATGTAACAAAACGGAACATATAAATAAAATTTATTTTATTACAATTTTGTGATTAATTTTTACTATTGAAAAAATCATGTTTTTTGGTATTTTTATAACGGTGATAATCGCTGCGTGGAAGAATACAGGTTTTGTATGACCATAATTACTACTTGTGAACACGAATTGGCTACACTGTACGACAACTCCTGGTCAACTCTTCTATAGAGAAGCACAAATAAATATACTACTTATATATTCTGTAATTTCTTATGAGAAAACGCAAATTGCAATTGAGAAAACGGGTAGTTTTCGAGGGCCGCTGTGTACATTTAAATTTGAGGATATTCCGCTTTTAAACTATGAAATCACTCTCTCAAATTGTGGGATTTGACCATAGTTCTAATGCTTAATGAAGAGCAAGTATAGAGGGAACACTCCCCGGAAACCCGGAAAGACTTCCTAAGGAGATCGTTCCTCTGCTGAGGCCAAATTTTAAGTCCCTGTTTTTAGGTTGACAGTGATTCAGGCAACCACTCAAAATTGAAGCCCTTAAGTGATAATGAACCCAATATACGTTAGAATTAGGGGACTTTTTCGAAACAGACATATCAGAAGTTTTAAGGGTGAAACAAATTTATCTAGCTAATTTATCATCCGAGAAAGATTTGATCCTGATAAAAATTATAGCACAAGTATGTTATCAAATCTTCTTCTTCAAGTGCCATCTCCGCGGCGGAGGTCGGCAATCATCATAGCTATTCGGACTTTTTTTGACGGCTGCTCTGAAAAGTTCATGACGGATGTTATCAAATAATCGATATTAAATCTATGAGAATCATATACCAGTATACTCAAGATTTTCTAAACAGATTGAGTACACGGTTAATAAAAAAATTAATGCTACAACCTGTATGCTTAATGATTTTAAAATGTAAAGCTATACTGTATGATTTTCCTATAAAGTTGTCAATGATTTTTCTGTAAAACTTATTTCCGTATCTCTCTATATAACTTTCAAAAATACAGTGCATTATTTAAAGGATTCGGAACAAATCGACTGCAAGCCAGACTAGCGACTAGAAAAGCCAAACCTGAGGGACAGTTTTATTTGAAACCAGAAGAGGTAGAAAACCATATGGTAGAGTTGCCCTTGTCCGATCTACCGGGAGTAGGTAGAGCTACCCTAGCGAAGCTACAAAAACTAGGACTATTTACATGTGGTGATGTGCAGGTAGGTACGAAGAACTTTTTGCTGATAGCACTTTTTATAGACTATTGCGTGACACTTATAGTTCTTGAGATGAAACATTCTGAAGATTTATTCACAAAGAGAGCGAGACAAGCATGCTTACTTTAAATATTATTTTATATGCGATTAAACCACAGTTGATTGTAATTAGAATTACATTTTACATTTATTTTGACGTTTTGATTTCCAATCCGTAAATCATTTTCAAAAATTTTTAAATTAAAAAATTGTTATGTTGTAACCTGTAAATGTTGATAAATTGGTACCTGGTGGCAAAATCACAACATAAGTATTAGAAAAAAAAAACATCAAATCACTATATTATAGAGCTCAAAACATCTGTTCCAACTAAAATGCATTTCAGGGAGAAAAAAACCTGTTACCAAAGATTTTAACAAAAAAAGATTATCCATTATCATTTATAAATAAGAAAATTTCCCAATATTGAAGAAGGGATACAACAAAACACCAAAAAAGATCCAGTAATGCTCTCAAGAAGAGATTGGAAGATAACATTTAAAACAACCAACACACTGAATCTATTCTTTCCAAAACCAAACCACACAGTAGAGATCAAAGAAGTAGATTTATAAAATAGCTTGTAAATGCAAAAATTTTTATCCGGGATACAGTTCGTAGATATGCAAACTTGTGTGAGATAATTAACACAGAGGACAAAGGAAAGATGAATCAATAATCATGAAAGAAACAGGTAGCAAAAAAGATTTCAATCAAAGAAGCAGTACTCATCTTGTAACTGAATAAAAATTTATAGTAAACTCATCAATAGAATGTAGCAGGCTCTGGTTACCAATGAAGAGGAAGGCAGCAATAAGAAAATACCAACATTAATGAGTCAATAGAAGGTCAGAGACGCATCCTCTATAATTAATTACATAGGCTCTTAGAATGTTACTCAAAATATTTGCACATAAGATCGAGGCTTAGTCAATTGACTCGCTCCGAGGGTTAAGAAAGTGTCAAAGCAAAATCGACTGACCTGCTCATGGTGGCGATTGTTTGAAATTTTATCAGGACGCTTTTGTGAATGGTACAATGAACATATTCATTGTACCATGAATGTTGATCATTGGTTGATCATATGTTATTAAATCTTTATTAACGACAAAAAATATTTTTGTTGAACTATAAATGTCACTATAAATGAATAACTAATTAATTCTAAAAATTGTATCCGGATGTTAACACCACAAAATAAAATATTTAAGTTTAACAAAATAATCCCATAAGACTCAATACTAAAACGTCCTCACAAATCTGACAGCGTGTCACGTGACTGTAAATAGAGGGGAGACCCACGGAGCGAATACTGCCAATTTATAAACATATACAGGTTAAATCTAATAATTTCTTAATTTAAAAATTTTTGAAAACGATATTCACAAAGTTAAAGTTATACACGCATAATAATCAAAGCAACAACTGTGTATAATAGTTCAGAGAAATAAGCAAAAAAGGTACCCTGTTTGTGACACATGCCTATCCAGGCAGATGACAGTTTTTTTTAAGTAGTATGGACTTCTAGAATAAGAATTTATGTGTTTCCTGCTCGATTTTTTGTTATAGGTTAAATAATTAGTTATTAACAAATTAAGGTAAAAAACGATAAATGTTCGCTTTTTTTGTCCATCAGCAAAAAGTGAAGCATTTGAAATAAATTTGAGAGTAAGAAACTTATAAGTCATACAAAAACCTTCAAAATGGCGTTTTTTAAATGTTTCTATCCTTATTTGTTGCTTAGAAAGTTACAAAATAAGTCAGAAAGCTCGTTTATTTATCAATGAGATTAGAGCCTTCATATTATATGGAATTTTGGGAACTGTGGTGTTTAAAATATGATCAAAGTTTAAAAGCAGTCAAATACTTTAAAAGTTATTTTATTTTATCTGTTTTATCCCAACTATTCCTGTTTAAATTTTTTGCAAAAATATCATTTGTCCGATGCATGATTGTCTTACTTTGACTGTGTTTTCTGTATTCTCTAAAGTAAAATGTATCATGTTACGCAACTTTCTGCTAACTCCCAGTTCCTCAAGGTCTCTTTTAATTCCTTCCTTTTTATTCTATCGTATGCTTGCTGGAAGTCGATGAATAGCGCTATCGTTGGTAAGTTGTGTTCATAGATTTCTACTTGTAATTCTCTGATTATGAATACTTGGTCCGTTGTGCTTCTACCTCGTCTAAATCCGCACTGATATTCGCCTATTATATTTTCAGCTTCTTTTTCTAGCTTATCTTTTATGGATTTTGATAGGATTTTGATTTTATATACGGTATTTAGTAACGCTACTCCTCTGTAATTACTGCATTCTGTTTTGTCTCCTTTTTTGTGTAATGGGCAATAATGGCTTCCTTCCAATCTTCTGGTATTCGTTCTTTTATCCATATCTCTTTTATGATCTTGTATATCCAATTATTTAGCACTTTCCACCATATTTCATCATCTCTGCTGTTATGTTATCGCTTCCAGGGGATTTGTTGTTTTTCAGATTTTTTATGATTTCCTCGATTTGTTTTTTGTTGGGTGAATTATCTTCTATGTCTCCTAAGTGTTCGATTCTTGCTTCGGCTTCCATACATTCTCTTTGCCATACTTATTATTGCCATTTAGTAATTCATCAAAATACTCTTTCCATCTTTCGACTATTTCTGCTTCCCGCATATATTATTTCCTGCTTTGTTTTTAACGAATATGGGTTTTTGTTGGAAACCTTTTTTTCATTTCTAGCACCTTGATATAGGTTTTTTATTTTTTATTTCTGTAATTCTCTTCTATTTCTTTAGCTTATTTTCTATGTGCTTTCTCTTCTTTTCTCTCAACTTCCTCTTTACTTTTTGTCTTTGCTCCCTATATCTATTCTTTGTCTCTGTTGTTTCTTTCGTGATCATTTCCATCCTTAATGATTTTCTTAGTTCTATTTCTTTTTGACACTCTATGTCGAACCAGTCTTTCATCTTTTATTCTCTTGTTTATTACATTCTTTTGCTGCTTTGTTCATTATTTGCTTTATGTTTTCCCATTTGTTCTCAGTTTGCTCTTCTATTTGTGTCTTTTTTAGTTCTCTTTCCATTGTTGCCTCGTATATTTCTTGCTCTTTCTTTGTTTCTAAGCGAATTAGGATATGTATACATTTCTTTTTTTTTATTTTGTTTTTGTTTTCTGGTATCAGTTGCTTAATTTTGATGCCCACCATGTAATGATCTGAGTCAGCGTCTGGTCCTCTGTATGTTCTTATCTTCTTTATACATTTCTGTTCCTCTTTTTCGATGAGCACGTGGTCTATTTGGTTTTTAGTCTTTCTATCTGGCGATATCCATGTTTCCTTGTGTATTTCTTTTCTTTCGAATCATCATCATCATCATCCAGCCTCTATTTATCATGTCCACTGCTGGACATAGGCCTCCCTTAAACTCCTCCTCTTTCTTTCGAAATATGTGCTCATTATGATCATATTTTTTTCTCTTGCGAAATCTATCAGGAATTGTCCGTTTATCCCAACTATTCCTGTTTAAATTTTTTGCAAAAATATAAGTCAGAAAATAAAGATGAACCTAATACAGTAAGTAAATGTCCTACATTGTCCAATCTTACTTCCTTTAATGATCGTACTTCAATGTTTTTTCTCTTAGGTGTTTTTAGTTCAGGCGTTATCGAAAGCAGTCGTCCTCCTTTCCTACTAGCTGTTTCTTCTATAGCTAAAAGAACTTCAGTAATTTCTGCGCGAAAGTGCACCAAATCTGAGATTCTTTTCTTTGATATTTGCAAATTTGTTGTTTGCCTTCTATATTCTAGCCAAGTGTTCGTATGGGCTAAATGTATACCATGTGTGAACATTCGCAACGTCCATTTGCGTGACCTAATAAAGGTCCTATACAATATTAGTAAGAAATTGAATTTGTCAACAATTATTGACAAGTTTTAATCCTTTATTACCTGTGGCCTATTTATTCCTATATAGGTCTTGTTTGTTTTGCCCCATCGTTTACACTTGTGATCGTTCCAATTCCTATATAATTTGTTGCCATTATTTCAGGTTTGTATCAAACCACTTTAGTTGTTAAATAGTAATTAAACCACTTTGTCATGATTACCTCCCCATCGTTGCTGATTATTTCTTCTGCAGTACCACGTTCATGTTTTTTTATTATTTTATCAGTAGAGAAGCTAGGGCTGCTGAATCTATTTTACTGTGCAGTACAAAAGGTAAAGATATGTGGTTAAATTTCATAACATTTAACCAGAACATTATCATTATAAAATTCCAATGCCGGACCTGTATATTCGAAAAATGCCGGTTCAGCTTGACGTCACTTGGGTTGCGTTAGATATGATCCGGATACTCATTTCGGCTTTTGGGTTCGTTAACTATGACCCGGCAACTCGTTGTCGGCTCTTTGAGCGTGGGCGCACCGGCAGCTGAGAGTAGCGTTCCAATCTTAACACTGTACACATCTCCACTCGTAGTATTTTGTTGGTTTTTGTTTTTTATTACGTACGAGTGGAATTAAACGTTCATAAACGGCTAACATGTGGTCGTATATCTTTTAAACATTTTTCTTATATAACAAGTAATGGTTTCAACGTGTTTTTTCATCAATGTTTTGTAAATAGCTGTATAAAGTGCTTCGTAAAAGACTTTTAAGTGCAAAAGTGAGGTTTAAGTGACAAGTTCTCATCTGTTTACGTGACCAAATGAACTTACATCAAGAATCGAACTATCTAACCTGCATTTTTTTGTAAAACTATTCCGAACTTAAACATTTTCAGTTTCTCTCAATAAAATCTAGTGAAAATTCAATTTAAAGGGTTTTCATTTATTTAAACTCAAAGAAGAAATACCTTTCCAAGGAAATATTAGAAGAGCAAAGGGGTTATTACCTCAAGGAAGAACCTGATAATATCACACATGTTACCTTACCCGCAATTTCTTGGCATACCAGCAACCTAGAAGGAAATATAG